TTTTTTTTTTTTTTTTTAAATTTCACAGTTTGGGTATTTTCTCCTCCCCCAGGTGAGGGGAGGTGGTTCTGTTCTCTGCCCTACCTGCTGGCTGGGTCCCAGCAGGGCTGGGGATCTGGATACTGGTTCTATCCCTGGTAGGAGTGTGAGTGCCAGTGGGGGGTCCTCCCTGAGGCTGGGAGGGCTCCTTGCTGTTACGCTCCAGCTGGCAAGAGTTGGAGCCTTTGTCTTGGAACCTCCTGGCCTGGGGAGCAGAGCATTTCTAGGATTCTTTGTTGTTGTGTTTAATCCCCTAACTCTTAGAAAATGAATGTGAGGAGCTGCCTGCTGAGACAGGGCAGAGCATTTGCTCGGCTGGAGAAGGCTCTGGTTAGCCCTGCAGGTCTCTTCCTGCTCCGCAGACACCTGGCACTTTACAAGGGAGCTGGCTGTGCTGTCCCCAGATGAAGGGAACCCCAGAAGATGGGAGAGCACTCTCCTTCCCTTCTGTGTCTGCATGACCTCAGCCCAGTGGGGAAGTACATTCAGGGTGTATTTGGGATCTGGCTCAAAGCTCTGGGCTTCAGGTATAAAACAACTAGCTCTGGTGCTGTTGGGGAGTCCCCCAAACCAGGAACCCTAACCCCACCCAAGGCGAGGTCTGGCCTTGACGGTCGCCCCAGACACAGGACACAGAGCCTGCCACAGCCTCCCCTGCCAGGCCCTAGGCCAGGGTACTTAGACTGAGAATTTGGCCACATCCAAATTAGCACTAGCTGGAGCCAGAAGCCTGAAGCCCCAGCCTCATCCCCACGTGGGAGCCCTTTCTTCCACCTCTGGGTCCCCTTAAGCTCAGTGAATTCCCGCCAGGCACACACAGCTCCTGGACTTAAAATTCTATATATAGAGAAAGATAGACTATATTAGAGATATTTTTGGAAAGGAATCAGTCTATGCAATGCCAGTTTGGAATCTTCTTGAAAGACAGTTTAACGTTTTTACTAGGAGATTTAAAGAAAATAAAGTCTACAATATTTTTAGGTTACTTTTTTTTCTGGTCACCCCAAACTGACCACACGGTGTGATCTGCTGGGATGGAGATGTGCCGTGTTCTCCTCTCTCTTGAGCTGGGAAATGGGTGGGGGTGGGGGTGGGTTTGTTTTTGTTTTTGTTTTTGTTTTGATCTTTAAAAAAAAAAAAAATCCCCTCCTTTCTAAGAGAATGTTGACGCCACCACCACCCCTTATTCAGAGGGCTGTGTTTGTATCTCTGTCCCGGCTTCTGTTTTAGAAAATTACATTGTAAGGGGAAATCAGCCTAGTGTCAATGTCTTGGTTTGGGGGAAAAAATTAAATGTTGCAGTTTTTGTTTGTTACGGCATGTTGGGTTTTGTTGGTCTACGGCGTGGTCAGCATCAGAAGAAAGCCGGGTGTGTAGGTTGACATCTGGGAATGGGGAAGGATGTGGGTGGCCAAGGCCCTCCCTGTCCTGGCCACTGTCACAATCATTACCACCTTTTTTTTTTTTTTTAAGATTTTATTTATTTGCGAGAGAGAGAGAATGAGAGACAGAGAGCATGAGAGGGAGGAGGGTCAGAGGGAGAAGCAGACTCCCCGCTGAGCAGGGAGCCCGATGCGGGACTTGATCCCAGGACTCCAGGATCATGACCTGAGCCGAAGGCAGTTGCTTAACCAACTGAGCCACCCAGGCGCCCCATTACCACCTTTATTGCTCCAGGTTTCCGGGGAGGAAACAGGCCCAGGAGGGCAATTTCTTGCCACCCTCACACCTAGTTAAGTAGCAGCTCTGGTCTCAGCACAAGTTCTAACCACCGGACCTTCCCAGCAGTCAGCCTGAGACAAATAACTGTCTGGGCCTCAGTTTCCTCAGCTGTAAACGGGCCTGTGGTTGAAAGAAGAAAGTGGTTGTACGGCCTGGCACAGGAGGTGCTGAGTTCCCAACCTCTCTCAAGTCCCAGGCCACGGCGGTCTCCAGGCCTGAGCCCCTCACTTCCTGCCCCCCAACCAGCAGGGGGAGCCAACAACTTAGCCAAGCTCTGAGAAAGGCAAGTCAGCCTGGCCCTTCATTAGCTCAGACGTGGCAGGAAGCCTCAGTGGCTGTGGACAGGCCAGAAGGGACCAGGCCTCCAGACCTCCTCCCTGCTGCAGCTTGGCATTGTCCACACCCCCTTCTCAGGGCCGACACCCCCTCATGGCCCCTTTAAACCCTGGAGGCTGATTTTAAGTCTCTTCCTCTGTTCTGCGCAGCACACCTGGGGAGGGCAAAGTTGGCTCCTGGCTGAGCCCGAAGTCTGTCCTGAGACTGAGAGGGAAGGCGTTAGGCTGTAGGCCAAGAAGAGTTGTTCCTATCAGCTTTGAAGAGTGCAGTCTCCATAGAAGACGGGCTCAGTGACTCAAGGAGACATGCTGCCAGCAGGAGCAAACCATACCTGCTTCAGACACACCTCTGCAAGTGTGTCCGCCCCTCCCCCACTCCCCATTCTGGGCACTAGGGATACAGCCGTGACCGCAGACCCTATCCCCATGGAGCTCACAGGCCAGATCAACAAGGAAATGAGCTAGCTAAAACGACAAGCGTTATCCACGGAGACACTCTGGGGGCTGTGGAGGACAGGAGGGAGCCCCTGCCCAGCTGTGAAGGGGCCTCCCTAGGATGTGTGGCATCCCAGTAAGACCTGATGGGTGAGGGGCAGCCAGCCCCACAAGCTGTGGGAAGACAGTGTTCCAGACTGGGAGGGACCTGCGTGCGGGGGCCAGTCCGACGATCCATCTGTGCTGCTGCCTGGGCTGCAGCGACACCCAGGGCCCAAAAGGCAGATGGTGAGGAAAGGGAGGGTCACCCTGACCTCATCCCTGCAGTGAAGAGAGGACACCTAGGAAGGGTCGCCTAGGAAGGCAGGCGATGGTAAGGGGGCGCTCCCCTCACAGCCAGTGGGAATCCTCCCATCTCTGGGGACCTGGGCCACCCCCTTCATCCTCCCACCCCAGGTGGGGCAACACTCTCTGCACCCCTCTCGACAGACAAGTTGGGGCCTCGATACTAGGAAATAAGGCCCCCGGGTTCCGGTCTCGGCTTCACCACTGACTCGAATTGTGATCTCCAAGTCTTCGCCCCTCTCTCTGCCTCATTTTCCCCATCTGAATCCTGGGACCTCTGACCTCCCACGCCATCCCGCTCTGGCTTTGGGATTCTGCGATATTTGGAGATGGACTTTTGCTTCTGGGGCGAGCTCGGCAGGACTGACGGCACGACTGCCAGCCAGTCTGGGTCCCCCATTCGATTCCATTCCCTAGGGAGAGTCGGGGAACAGCGTGACCCGCAATACCCTTGGAAACTACATTTCCCGGCATGCGAAGGGGGAGGTGGCACCCTCCTGTCTAGGGACACGTAGTCCCCGGCCCGCCTAAAGACTACGACTCCCGGCGTGCCCTGCGGCCCAGGGCCTGAAGGGCCCGGATCCGGATCTGCGGTGGCTTGCAGCTCGGGTGTGCGAGTGCGGGGGAGATGGTGAGCTCCGGGCCGAGTGCTGGGGGCGCGGGGGGCGTCTGGGGCTGGGGTCTGCCCGGGAGCCGGGGCTTAGGCCCTCGGAGCCCGGATTGCTGTCCCGCGGGCCCACTGTACGAATGAAAACGCCGCGGCCCCGCACTCTCCGAGCCTAGAAAGTGATACCTGGCCAGGCCTGTCTGCATCTGTGGAGTGAATGGGAAGCTCAGAGCGCAATCAGGCTGCGACGCCACCCGCCAGTAGTGCATATAAATGGGGAGTTCCTTCGTCAGTTGAGCCCTCCTTTTCTCCAGGCCACGGGGACAGACCAGGTGGTGGGACTCGGCCTCGTCGCCGTTAGCCTGATCATCTTCACTTACTACACCGCCTGGGTGATTCTCTTGGTATGTGTGCTCCCCACCCCGTCTCACCTTCGACCCCCGGATCTTGAAGCTGACCCTGGCATCATTTAAGCAGCTGCCATGTACCAGGCACTGTGCTAGGTGCTTTCCCTGCCCTCATCTCCTGAAATCTTCAGAACAGCACTAAGAGGATGCTGGAGGTGTCCCAGTTTATAAGTGAGGAAACTAAAGTTCAGGAAGAAGGGTCGGGCCCTTAACGCTACACTGGAAAGCCCTATTACTGATTCACTTTTGCCTTTGATTGGAGTTCTGGTCCTTCTGGGTTATCCTGCTGGCTCCCGGGCATGATGAGTGCCAGTAGATTTTGTGAGGGCTTTTAGGATTTTTTTTTCTTGTGGGAAAATTTGTTGGTTACTGCTTAAGAAGTGCAGTGTGTTTGGAGGGCTAAAACTTAAAGAACTTTGGAGGAAAATGTTAGTAAAGAAGACCTTGGAGCCCACTTGAGGATTCCTCCTGTACCTTTGCCCCTGTAGGGCTGTGAGTGCCTTAGGGCAAGGCCCTTGTCTTCTGTTCATTGCCAGGTCCCCAGCACCACCTTAGGGCAGGCATCAGGCAAGTGTGCAGTGAACAACTATTCAGTAAGTGAATGAAGGAAACAAGCCAGAACACCCCAGATTAGCATCATCTTAAAGCAAAGCCAGGTGCTGTCCCAGTGCTTTGACTGGGGTTAGCCCCTGAGATGGAGGAAGGGCGCTGTTTGGCCTTGAAGGGCTGGGCCAGGCAAGGAGCGCTCACCAGAGCTCTGTCCTCGATACCAGCCATTCATCGACAGCCAGCATGTCATCCACAAGTACTTCCTGCCCCGAGCCTACGCTGTCGCCATCCCGCTGGCCGCCGGCCTCATGCTGCTCCTGTTTGTGGGTAAGTCATCAGTCCCTCAACCCTGAGCAGGGTGTCTGGGGGTTCCCACAACCCTCTCCCATCCCCTGAACATGCTTCCACACTTGAGCACTTGCAGTACACCTGCTTGGGGCCCTTGGCCCCCAGCTGACCCCCCGGGGTTTTCCTGTTCATCCTTCCGGGCTGCTTGTCCCCATGCCCCAGGCTCACTGGTCTCAAATGTGATGGCCCTAATGGGGTGTCTCCCTTCTTCCTGCTCCCTCTGCCACTACCAGCATCACTCTGCTCACACCTCAGTCACCTTTCACCCCCTTGTCACCCACTGGCTCATGACCCCTGCCCCTCTCTGTCTCCCAGCGTTTATGTGTGGGCTTCTCTGGGCCGGGGACTGTAGCTTCATCATTACTCTTTATGTCCTCAGCTCCTGGCACCGAGTTGGTGCCCAAGAAAGTGGTTTGGATGAGTCACTTGGATGACTGGGTGGTGGGGTGGGTGGTGGATGTGGAGTAGGCAGGTGGGTGGGTGGACAGGTGGTTGATTGGGTGGGTAGATGGATAATTGAGTGGGTCTTGTGCCCTGTGGAATCTAAAACACTAAGTGTAGCCATTCGCCTGTGTTGGCACTCCGTTGGTGTTTGTTGAATACACGGGGCTGGGTGTGTGGCTTGCTGAGTGACCCGGGAGGTGACGCTGGCCTGGAGGGTGGTTGGGCAGGTGCTTGGCCCCGTGTGCGGGTCGCTCCACCACGCTGTGCGCTGCTCTGGCCTCCCAGCAGCCCAAAGCCTGGATCTTACTTGGCTTTTCTGGTCTGTGTATTTCCAGGACTGTTCATCACCTACGTGATGCTGAAGAACCAGAAAGTGACCAAAAAGGTTCAGTGAAGGCCCAGCAGGGCTGAGGCTGCTGGCCTTTCCTCTGCCTCCCCTCCAAAGGTGGGGTGCATAGGACCCATCCAGGCACTGCAGCCCCCTCCAGCCTGGCTGCCCTGCAGACATCCCTGTGGGATGGAGCTGTCTGGGACCTACCACACAGGCCTGCTCCTTCCCTGCTCAACCTTCCAGAAGCCAGGAGGGACGATTACCTGGAAGCCTCCCCCTCACCCCTTTCTGGCTCAGGGCCTGAAGGATGCCGGTCATCCCTGCCTCACCTTCAGACTCCCTGTTGCCTTTTCCCCTGGGTTCTACCCTCTGGTTTCAGTTTCCCTCCTGTCACCTGCTGATGTCGGACTTGGTAGGTTCTGAGGCATCATGCGACCTTTTCCCACATGTCCTGCTCCTCCTCGGAGGCAGCTTTCCCAGGTCTGACATTGCTCTGGGCCTCACAAAGCCTAAGGGGAGGACTGACAGGCTCTGGGGTTACCACCAGGCCTCAGGGTCCATTAGGGTGGCCACAGTGGGCCCCCGGACCAACTGCTTCTCACAGGAGGCCCAGTCCCCCACCCCTAGCGCTGGCCTCTTGGGGAGAGCTGAACAATAAACACTGATGATGTGTTTGTCTCTGTGCCGTCCCTGACCGGGGAGGCTGGGCTGCTCAGGGGCTGGAGAGGGGCTGTTCTCAGGTCATGAGACTGGTTCGCGCAGTGCGCCTCCGGTGCCTCCCAGATTGTCCCCGTGCTGGACCCAGGAGAAAGTGGGGACTGAAACAGATGTGGCTCCAGCCTGGTGCAGCTCACGGATGGGGAGTCGGCGGAGGCCTGGCAACGTGCCACACACCACATCAGCCTCTACTGTGCCTCCCCTGCGCCAGCCCAGCCAGCGTGCACTGGTGTATTTTAGGGACCCTCGGGCCAGTCCCCTAAAAACCCAAGTCCGTCGTCCATCTCTTGTACCCAGAAGCCCAACCTAGTGGGGCTCCGAGCAGTGAGAGCTGGGAAACCAGAGCAGGGCTTCCTCTGGTCAGGATGAGTCATTTGGCACAGGCCCAGCCCTGTCTCCCCCCACCGCAATCCCACCACACCCCCCGCCCCACGCAGCTGGGGCTCCCGTCCGCGGTGCGTGGTTTAAGCCTCTGTCACACCTTGGATGATGTGCACTCCAGTTAGCAGGGACGTGTCCCTCATCCGAGAGCAGAGGCTGGCTGCAGGCACACCGCCCTGCCCTCACCTGCCCCCATCCTCTTCCCCTGCTATAGCAGGAGTATCCTGTCTCCGATGGTCCCCTTCTCATGGGGACAGCCCCTGCCTCTCACCAGGCTCCTCCTGGTGTTCCATGAGCATGCCCAGGCCCCCACGTAAAGGACCCTCCGTCAACCCAATAATTCTCTCCAGGTCTCCCCCTCTCCCCTAAATAGCCAGATTCCCAAAAGGATGTCCAGCCCGCTGCCTGCAGCTCCTCTCCTTCACTGTGTTCAGCATCACTCCCGGAGGGCTGCACCCACTCAGACCCCCCGTGACCCCATGTTGGCCTGTGACATCCCCCTGGATGCACCTCAGATGCTCTCGGTGTCCGTGAGGACTCGTTCTCATACTTTATGTCTCCCACGCTCCACTTCCGCCATGACGCGGTGGGCTCCTTGGGACTTGGTCACAAGCCTCACCCCACACTCGTCCCTACCCAGGCCCTCCTCCTCAGCCCCGCCGTATTGCCCATGCACCAGTTAACTGCCATCGGATGTCATAGTGGCTCCTCAAATTCATCCTATCATGATCTGAATTCTCAGACTCCCCCCTCCCCAGTTTCCCCTCCCAGCCCCTTCCATGACTGGCATCATCCTGTGGCCCTAACCCCAGCCAGAAGCCTGGCACACATCACTGACCTTGGCTTCCTCCTCCTAGCCCCCGTCTGCATGACCCCAAATCCTGTCAGTTCTCCCCTTTTCTCGCCTCCCCCCACCAGTCACCTTCCTGATGCAAAGGCTCCATCCTCTGCCCTGAGTCACCCAAAGATTCCTCCCCCCCATACACACACTCTGGCCCCTCCAATGTGACTATACATGACAACCATGGCCTTTTAAGAACATCTGAGCATCTTTCTCATACACATAAGAGAACCTGAATGCTTGTTCTCTTCTCACTCCAGCTCCCCTGGCCTTTCATTTCTTGGGATTCACTGAGGCCCTTTGCACGTCCTACTCACATTGGTTCAGCATATACTTATGAAACACTGGTTTGTGCCAGACACTGAGCCAAGAAGGGAGCCCAGCATGGTTCCTGCCCTCTTGGTGCCTCCATCATGGGGGGGAAATATAATAAATAAGTGAACAAGATGATTTCTGGCAGTGTTAAGTGTGATGAAGAAAATAAAACAAGGTGATGTGATCAAGAATGAGGGGACACTGGGGCGCCTGGGTGGCTCAGTCAGTTAAGCATCTGCCTTCGGCTCAGGTCATGATCCCAGGGTCCTGGGATCGAGCTCCATGTCGGGCTCCCTGCTCAACTGGGAGTCTGCTTCTCCCTCTGCCACTTCCCCTGCTTGTGCTTTCTCTCTGTCAAATAAATAAAATCTTTAAAACAAAAAACAATGAGGGGACACTTAGAGTCGGGCAAGGTGACTAGAAAGAACAGGTCAAAGGAAAGCCTAGGGGAAAGGATTTCAAACAGTGGGAAGAGCGCCTGCAAAAGCCCCAGGTGTGAAAGAATTTTATGCCTAAGGACCAGCTGGGGGAGCTCCTTGTGGCTGTCTGGTGGGTGTAGGCAGAGTGGTTTGAGATGGGCCTGGGGCTGTGGCGAGGGGGGTGGATTTTGTTCCAGTGCAGAGGGAAGCCACTGGAGGCTTTAAGCATGAGAGTGACATCATCCGATTTTATGCTTTTAAAAGATCAGGCTGGCAGCTGTGTTCCTCCCTCTCGCTCACCGCTGACCCCCCAGGGCCTAGCAATGCTCCTGCCCTTGGTGAGTGGTCAAAACAGGCCTTGAATGAATGCATGCCCCGGACTTCCTGTGTGACCTGGAGGTACTCACTTCTCTCCCTGGACCTTAGTTTCCTCACCCGAGGGACAGTCGGTGGGAATTTCACGCCAGAGTGGGTGGGCGGGATTTGGATTTAGGTTTCCCGCCTCCCCAAACGGCCCCCCGAGACCCGAGCCCCCCACTTGAGGAGACGAGCTGCGGGGGGGTGAGGTCTTCCCTCCTGGCGGCCCTAAGCAACGCGGGGCGGCCCCACCCCGGCCTGGACCGCGGTCTGAAGGATGCTGCAGCCCCGGGGGCGGGACCCGCAGGCGATCGCCACCGCCTCCCGCGCGGATTGGGTGCAGCCGTGACCGGCACCGCGCTATTGGTCGGTCCAGGAGCAGGGGCGGGGACCGGCTCCTGCAGCGCGGCGGCGGGGACGCGGCCGGAGCCCGGGAAGCTGCTGCGGGGGCGATGGCCGCACCGAGCCCGGGGCCCCGCGAGGTAGGTGCGGACCCAAGAGAGGACAGGAGAGGGAAGGGTTGGGGGACAGGGCCCAGGCCTCTGCTCCCCGTGCAGCGCGGACACACCCCCATCCAAGCCCTGGAGGTGTCCAGCACTGGGCGGGGACCAGAACACGACCCACACGGGGCCGCAGGTATGGAGGGGGAAGTCTGGTGGGTGTCCCCAGAGAACTTCCTCGGTTTTCGCATCGGGGAAAAAGCGCCTCCTTCATAGGGCTGTTAGCAAGTCAAGCTCTCGGCCAGTGCTGGGCACATGGTGGGTGCCCACTACGAATGGGTCAGCCGCTGTGAGCCCAGCTTCGTGCTGACCCTCCGCTCGGCCTGGAGGAACTCCGCATAGACGAGCGGAATAGATGACCGAGTCCCTGGCGTCACAGCTCCTCGTATCAAGGGTTCCTGTGCTTGGAGCAAATATCAAACTGCCACGAAGGAGTTATTATAGTTGTCATTTTACAGATGAGAAAAGGAGATGCAGAAAGGTTAGGTGACTTACCTAAGATCATACAGCTGGTGAGAGACAGGTTTGGTTGCGGAAAGCATTCTCTACCTACTGATAACAATTCTATTCTGGGTGCTGACAGCATGCCAGGCACTGCGTGGCCCATCACAACACCCAGTGAGGTGGGTACCAGCATTATCCCTGTTTTACGACCGAGGAAACTGAGGCAGAGAGCGATAATAGGAGGGCTCACAAGTATCGGAGGTGGGACTCAAACCCAGGTCTTTCCCCTATGGGATGCTTCCATGTGCTCATTGCTTCTTGTGCCTCCTGCCACCAGGTCCTGGCCCCCTCCCCAGAGGCTGGACGCAGAGCAGCCACCTCGACCTCTGGCCGCCGTGGCCTCCTCTGGCGTCTTCGAGACAAGCAGGCTCGCCTTGGCCTGTTTGAGATTGGCCCGGGGCATGAGCTGCACCAGCTGACATGCATGATGCAGACAGGGCTGTGGGCTGCCACCCAGGTCTCCATGGACCACCCACGCACAGTGAGTGGCCCATCTGTGTCATGCACCTCCTCGGTACCGAGGGCAAGACTGTGCGGATGCCAGGTCCTGCTAATACCGCAGGGTCAGGGATCAGAGAGGACTATACAAGGAGGAAATCAGGGGCTTGGTGCAGGGAGGGAGGGACATGCTGGGGTGGGGGCCGAGGCCAGGAAGCCGCAAAGCCCGGTGTGTACTGAGGATGTGAGGAACACCTTGACCCAGGTGGTTGTTGTGCAACTCTAGATGGGCCTCTGCTTCTTTGGACCTCAGCGCCCCCATCTGTATAATGGGTGTGGGGGGGATTGTACTCCTCGGTCTCTGATGCCCTCCTGGCTCTGCTAGGGTGTATGGCTGAGAAAGGACCCCACCCCCACCCCACCAGCCTGGCCCATCCTCCCCGGAGCTCAGGCTGGGGCCAGGCTGGCTCAGCAGAAAGGGTCGCCCAACTGCAAGCTCAGCAGCTGGACAGGCCAGGGCGAGCATGTGTGTTGTGTGTGTGTGTGTGTGCGTGTGTGCGCGTGCACACACACACACACACGTGTGCACAGTGTGACCACATCCCACAGGCCAAGTCCTGGCACAGGGGCCTAGAGGTCCAAGAAGAGTGTAGGAGCCTCTAGGCGGGGGGGAGGGGGGGCACAGTCTTCTGAATCTCATAACCTGCTGACAATCTTCCATGGCTCCCCAGTACTCAGCATGGCCTCAGGATTCTGCTGGCTCAAGTCCAAGGGCCAACTGCCCAGCTGCATTCACTCCGTCCCTCCCTTAATTATTTCAATCACTTGAGCTCTCCTGCCCTTCCAGTGACCACCAATGCTGTTCCCCCTGCTATGAGCACCACCTTTCAGATTTCAGCTTAGAGGTCACCTCCCCCAGGAAGCCTTCTCTGATCCTGCCCTTCTCACACTGAGTCAGGCACGTCCCTTGGCTTAAAGGCCATCCCCTTTCACTGGGATGGCATCTGGCCTCACTAGGCCAACATGTGCTTCTGGGTCAATGGACGAAGCTCTGAGTTCTGGTCTCTGTTTGCTGGAGCAATCACACTGAGGGAAGCGGGTGAGGCCAGGTGCAGGACTCTTGAGATCCTGGAGCTGGCAGTGTGGGCCAAAGACTTGACCTGAGCCCCTCCACCCCTCCCTGTAGGGACCGCCCACTGAGGAGGATTTCTGCGAGGTCCTGACCCAGGTTCACGAGGTAGGAAGCCCCAGACTGCTGCATGGGAGGGGCGTGTACTGGTCTTCCTTCTCTGTCCTCCTCAGTTTCCCCATCAGTACAGTAGGAGTGCTGGCTTGCCTCAGGGCTTTGCAGGACCGGTGTGGTTACCCTGACCCTCCCGCGCTAGGGCCTACTGCACACACCTGGGCCCCCCCGTGGACACTGCTGGGGCTGCTCTTCCTCCCCTGCAGGGCTTCGAGCTGGGCACCCTGGCTGGCCCAGCCTTCGCCTGGCTGCGCCACTCCCTAGGCCTGGCCGAGGAGGACTATCAGGCGGCGCTTGGCCCAGGTGGCCCCTACCTGCAGTTCCTCAGCACCTCCAAGAGCAAGGCCAGCTTCTTCCTGTCGTGAGCTGGCAGCAGGGGTGGGGAACGGGTGGGAGTGGTGTCCCTGGGTGGAGGGGAGGGGGTGGGTGGGAAAGAAACAGAATGGCCAGGTCAGGGATGGTCAGGGCCAGATAGAGGTCAGAGGGAGGAGAGTGAGGGTGGGAGATGACCCGAGCGGGGGTGAGGAGGCCTCGAGCCCGAACCGGGGGAGACAGAGCCACACTCGGGCAGAGGGCCCGATGGGGGCCGCTCCAGCCCCGCCTGACCAGTGACCTCTCCCTCCACTCCCCAGCCACGACCAGCGCTTCTTCCTGAAGACCCAGCGGCGTCGGGAGGTGCGGGCCCTGCTTGCCCACCTGCCCCGCTACGTGCAGCATCTGCAGCGGCACCCGCACTCGCTACTTGCGCGGTTGCTGGGTACGACCGGCCGGGGACCGGGGACTGCGGGGCGGGGGAAGAGGGGGGCAGTGAAGAAGACCGAGAGCGAGCAGGGGAGGGGGCTAGGGAGTGGGGCGGCTCCCAGGTTGGGGGGCGTAGGGGACCTGAGCCCGAGCCTGGGCTGGCGGCTCCGGGCAGGGGCCGCGTTCCGTGGGGGGCGTGTCCTCGACGTCGGTGGAGGGGAAAGGCGGACTCGGTGGGCGCAGGCCGAGCTCTGGGGCGGGGCCTCCCGAAGGGGGCGGGGTTGGATCACCCAGTCCCGCGGCGGGAGGGCATATGGGTGGGGTCACGCCTGAGGACCGCGCCTCTCTGGGGCGGCCTAGAGGCGAGTCCTGTCCGGACGACGACCCGAGCTGAGGCAGAGGTCCGGGGGCGCGGCCTGGAGGGGCGGGCTCGGGAGGCGGGGGACCTCGAGGAGGAGGCATGGCCTGGAGCTGGGCCTAGAGCGGGCTGGACCAGGGGCTGTCGAGTTGGGGGCCCCTCACCTGGCGCCCTCTCCCCTTCCAGGAGTGCACAGTCTGCGGGTGGCTCGGGGAAAGAAGGTGGGTGAGGCCGAGGCGAGGGGACCGGGCCAGAGGGGGCGGCTGGAGGGTGAGATTCTGTCCTCCCTCACTCCCTACCCCTGTCCCCAGGAATTCTTCATCATCATGCTGAGCGTCTTCTATCCCGCCGGCCGCATCTCTGAGAGGTGAGTCGCCTCACAGGGCCCCGGCCCCACGCGGGATGTGCCACCTGAAGCACCCATACTCACTAGATAGATGCGAAACTGAGGCCCAGGGAGGAGATGGGAGGGACATCCCTGAGATCTCCTAATGGATCGGAGACAGGGATAGGCACGACCAGCATCTCTTGAGCACTCAGGATGCATTGGGCGCTCTGTCCAGGCTT